GGGTGGCACATTCTTTTGCCTTGTGGCAGGTACAACTTTGTAAATGATAAGCCCCATGCAAGGTCAGAGGGAGAAGTAGAAGAAAAGTGGTACTTACTGATTTTGTAGTTTCTGCAGTCCAATCAAGTGTTTCTCATGCTCCCATGCCAGCTCTTTTTGCACTAACTGGATTCTCTGTGCTGTCTGCCTATCCAGCTCCTCAAAGATCCTATGGTCCATCTCATACTGCTGCAGAAAGACAGAAAACCCAGCATCACATTATCTTGGCTTCTTGGGCCTTTTTTCCCAGGTGCCAGACACTTCTATGCACATCAACACAATCCTTTATTTCAGGAGCTATTCAGATCTGCACAGAGAACCTCATTTTTCCCACATGCTTCTTAAATGGCACAAATCATCAGCTGTGATTCAGAAGTCACAGCAAATTATATATTCATAGAACTACCTTAATGCAAAGGGTTGGACATCTTTGGCCCCACCACATCGGGTAGCAACATTTTAGAAGAAGGTGCCTCTAAAGGTAAATGACCCTCATAAAAAACAGATGTACCTCTCTGGGCAGCTGCATGTGCTTGGGCAACTCCTGATTCTTCTGAAGGAGAACAAGAAACTCATGCCTTAGTGCAATTAACTCCTCTCTTTTCTTGTTTTTTTTTTCTTCAGCTTCCTTCATTATCCGTTCATACTCCTTTTTCTGCTTGACTTCCTCAATGCTGAAAATACATGAAAAAGGAAATTATGTTATCTCAATGGAAGAGAGGAAAGATTACATGTTATGTAACCTTTCAGATTTCCTTCACAGCCTTAAACTCCCAGTGAACTCAATGGCTCTGAAGGTAACTTAGAAAGGAATCATCTTCCTGTGTATTTGTAGAGACCTAATATCATGGGGCTTTGACCTTGACCTTGTGTTGTCTCTGTAGTCTGAAGTTAAGTCTCAGGGTACCATATTTGAATTACTGCCACAGAAGAGTAGATGAATTGGAGGGAAAGGCTGAAAAAAGCTTTGTGTGTAACAAGGAAATGACCCAAATTCAGGGTGATCAACTTCTCCCTCCTCTTAGGAGGCAAAAAGAAATACGTGGTCTAAAGAAAGAGCTACTAACACTTGAAAATCTCTTTCATCATTACCCAAGTATCTCTTACTTGCAGGCATTGGGATCCTCAATGTCTTCAGTAGCCTTCTCCTTCTCAAGACCACTCTGGAATAAAAATGTTGTCTCGCCTTTAAACAAGCAATAATAGTTTCAACAGACGATAAAGCTTTTACAAACATTAAGACAGAGCTTCTGCTGCCTCTCACAAAACCAAAAGAAACCTTTATGATCAATATTGCTATACAGACCTTAAATATCAGGTTTTAATGTTTCAAGAACAAAAAGCAATTAAGTTGGTTTACATGTAAAAGAACTAATGAAGCACAGTTCTTAGGGACAGAGAACACAAATCCTATACGCTCCTCATCAACATTAACCATTACATCATTGCTTGTCCTAATTTCACTCTGCCCCATAACATCTTTGGTTTTCTAGCCCCCAAACCCAATTCTCTTGTCTCCCCTCACTGCCAGGTTGACAAGAGACAACATATCCTGGGCTAATTCCAAGTTACATGTGTAATTCATCTGATTTGCTTCTGCTGACTCCATAACGGGTTCACAATTATTAGCTGTGAAGAATGACAGATGGATGGACACTGCAGTCACACAAGCCTCATTTCCCTAGGCAATCATGCTCTAAAAAAAGAGGGGGGCCTATCGCCCTGCAGTGAATACAGTCATACTAAATTGATCTGTAATTTAACTCAATTAGTTTCAGAGGATTTGTATTTGATTCTCTAAGAATCTCATTAAGTTTAATGAAGATGGAATTTTTAAAATCTTTCACAAGACTTAAAACTAGAATAGACACTTAAAGATATACTTTGATAAGGGAAAAACTCTGTTAGGATGGTCATTAAGCAACGTTGCTAGCCTGAACAATAAAAATTGACCATAAAGATCTTTATATAGAGCTACTTACATACTCAAAATAATAAAACTGTACATACGCTTTATAATTGTATATTAATCACTACTTGTAATACTGGAGCTAGCAAGGCTCTGATATCACAGGTTCCAATCATTCACTTAGTTTAAGAAAATAATTTTGAGTCTATTTTCAGTGCTATATATTCTTGTGATATTGGTAAAGAATTCCACCTAGTCATGAACAATTTAACTAAATGACCAAAATCACAATTTCCTCTCTGTCTCCCTCATCAAGCATCTTTCAAAACGTAGTTACCAACTAACATTAAAAATATTTAAAAGTTGAATTTGTTTTATGTTGACGCTTTCAAGATTTTTAAACTGTACCGAATGTGTATCTACTCAAAAAGTCATCGTGCATGATAGCACCTCTTTACTCAACAGGTCTCCCTGCTTCTTTCAAGTTATATTTGTTTAATTCAGGCACTCAAGAGATTTTTAAAAAATTTAATAAAGTCTGAACATTTTCAGTGGGGGAGTTGACACCTCTCTCTTCTTGTGTATTATCAGTAGAACTGTTATTGAGTTCCAGTGTCATCTGTTCAAACATGATAAAGGTGATGAGCTCTACAGTGATTAGTCATTTTACAGGACACCTGTAAAATTATTAGTGCTAATGCTGTCTGAGAGTGAAAGAGCAACAGGACCAGCATCATGCTGTGCTATTTTGCAAATTAAAAAAAAAACAACTTGTGAATGGTATACGAACGGTACTAGATGCACTGAGAAACTACACATTTGATATTCTCCAACATTATTTCTAGAATCCCCATCCAGAGCAGAATCATACTTTACTGGAATTAAATCCAAGACAAGTGTTAAGTATGACAAATCCTTGTTGTTTTTTCATTCTAGGAATGTGCATGATTACAGCTTTGAGTGGGAAAAGACTAGTAGAATATTACACGTGAACAACAAATACTATGCTTATTTGGAGAAAAACACAAAACATTGAGTAGGAACAATGCAGTCACAGTGCCTGTTTATTAGGGAATGTTTTGCAAGAGCTCTTCTTCCAAATTGTTTGGGAAACCTCAGCTTTTCCTTTGAAAGATCTACGATGCCAAATAACTGAACTGCATTTTGCCCATCTGCAGTAGTTTCATAGTAAATAGGCCTAATACAGTGAAAGAGGGTAACGACTTACCCTAGGAGAGGGGATTTTGGCTTTCAGCTCTTTGTGAACATCCTCTGGAGACAAGACGTTGAAAGTAAAAATGTTTCCATCTCCACCACAGGTGATCAGAAATCTATCATCATAACTAGAACAGATACCCTGGATCTGGCCATAATCATTGTCGTGTACATTGAAAGACCAGTATTCCTTCAGGGTATTCACTGAGAGGCCTTTGTCCTGGAGAGGATAAACACGCAGTGCACCATTCTGCATCCCACAGAACATCAGTAGTCTGCTGGTACTGTCAAATAAGCAACAAGAAACAGTAATAGCAGACAACTTGTAACAAGTAAGGCCACAGCTCCAAACATACTTGAAAAGAGCTAATCTAGCTTAATAAATGTCGCTTTCCCCAGTTTGTAAGCTGGGAGCAAAGTATTTGGACCATTTAAAGTATGTGTGATACTACTACGAACTTTTTTCCACCTAACTGGCTGCTCAGGAATGTTCCAGCACTTGCTGGGTATCATGGAACTGGTCTCAGCCCTGAGTTGAGCGAGTAGCAGACACCAGGTTCAGAGCTAGATAGACAGTTTTCCTTCCCTGCTCTCCATCTAGTATGGATGGTGGTGAATGTAGCCTGCTGTAGATTAAAGCCTGAACTAAACCTGCCTCCTTAGATGCAGAACATGCCTAGCCTTACAGGGAACCTAATATTGGGAGTCTGAAAATATTTTACCCTTTTCTTTTGTACAGTTCACAGAATGTCCTGAGAAGCCTGTACTCTTTGCAAAAGAGGGATGGAGTGTTCTCCTCAAGGACTGTGTCCTCTCTTTGCTAACCATAAAAAAGAACTGCTGTTCTGGTGATCACAATTTGCAGAGACTTCTAACGGTTCTCATGGAGCTCTACAATCTAGGATGTCTGAGTCCTAATCAGTACTTTATTAGCAATCAGATGTTTTCATCTTTGAAGGGCTTTTTAAATTATTCTGTCAGACACAGTGCCCAACTGTGCCCATTAAGAATTTTAAGTGAAACTCAGTGCCAGGAAAACTAGAGAGAGTTCCTGCATACTAGAGTTGAGCCATAATTAAAAGGGGACAAAGCAGTGTACCCTCTTCCCTTCCAAGTTCAATTTCATCAAGCTTTATCACAAAGCTATCTGTTACACTACAATGTTTACCAGAAGGAGATTTGGTGGATGGGATTGCTGTCGGTGTCCTCAATAGGAATCACTTCAAAGGGTTCATCCTGCCTGTTTTCAGGGTCGTCTTGGTGATCATTTGAGAATTCACAATGATAGAGGAACCCTGAGTCATACCCACCCTGAAGAAGAAAATTACCATAAAGAAATGGTGACAAAAGAACACTGAAGCAGCTGACCAGGTAAATACAATTTTCAGAATAGTTCTTCCTTTCTTAAGGATCTACAATAGGTTAGAAAATGTTACTTCCAAACATCTAGAGATCCTATTTGCCCACAGAGAAAAATCTATCATGGTCACTGGCATTACAAGCCATCCTACCAACATGTTAAGATTCTACCTGCAGCTTGTGAGGGAACAGCTTAGTCTTTGTGCCCATTCAGGCATCATCAGGAAGTGTACCTATTGGAAATTTACTGAACAATCTGAATTGGAGTGACACTACTGGTTTACTTCACAAAGACCACTGAAACTACCAAGTGTGAAGGGAATTCCATGACCTAGAGATGGTAGGTTACAGATAATCAGTCTTCTAAGGCATCCAGATGTGAAGGGAAGGTTGCCACCTTGCAATCCCATCAACATTAAATAAAAATTGATTTACCAAGGAAAGCCAAAATTTTCCTGGTGCTGAATAAAACCCACAGAGGATGGGACTGGGCTCCTCTGGTATGTAGAGAGGTGGCAATGGCTCTTCTTCAGGTTCCTCTTCAGGTTCTTCTTCTTCTATCTCCTTTCCCATCTCTTGTTGCTGCTTTATCCATTCCAGTTTTGCTTTCTCCTTCTCCTGCTTTTTTTTCTCTCTCAGCGCAATCTCCTCTTCCAGCTATTACAACAAACAGAGAAACATGGAGACATGAAACCAAGGCACTCCATGCATTGCTGACTGAAGGAGTCTTATAAATGAAATCCAAGGTGGTCCTGGCATTATGTATACAGAATATCTAGAGAAATCTCTTTCCCATCAACTAAGCAGAGATCAACCAGACTTCATGGGGGTCTTCAGTGGAATGCCCCCATTTTCCTCCTCCGAGGTATTTTAACTCATGATCTTTTGAAACAGAAACAATTCTGCATGAGAAGCAGACTTAAGCATTTCCTCAAAGAGGAGGAATATTAACCACTATTAGCATACCACTTCTGCAGAACTCTTAAGCCCTATCCTCTGCCTGCCCAGGAGAAAGAAAAGCACTGGAAAGCTGAACTCAGATTCCCAAGTTCTAGTGCATCACTGATGTAGAGTAAAAGAGAGAAGCTGTAATGGACTTTACTTCTTATGAACAATGAAGGGAAGACATTTGCAGATTTATAAAACTTTCAAAACCTCCTTTCCATTCAAGCCTACTTTAGCATAAACAAGTATCAAACATTCTCTAAAACAGGATCTTCCTAAGAAGATATTAGATAGTAGCAAATCATAGAGAAAGCTCTGGAAAGGATCTCAGCATTCTTTTGCCTGAAAGCAGGATCAACTAAACCTTAAATAGTATCAGCTGACATTTGTCTGACCTACCCTTTAAAAATCTCCGATGAGGACTCTACAGCCTGTGCAAACTATTTCAGTGCTTCACCACCCTTACTGTTAGAAAACTTTCCTTACATCTTATCTAAAACATCCTCATTTATTAATTATTGATCTATTCCTAGAGGAAAAAGAGAACAATTAATATTCCTTCTCTCTGTGGAAACCTTTTCTGTTTTTAAATATTTATAGCATCTCCCAACAACATTCTTTTCTTTTGACCAAAAAAAAAAAACCCCCAAACCACTACCAACAAAACTCCATACACATTCTTTCAATCTTTCCTTACATATGTATACTAGCTTTGTGATCATTCTTGTGGTTCTTCCTGTGAGAAAAATCACTACAAATATCTTTCTCCTTCATGCTGACTTTCTCCTAGTTATAACAAGAAATGAGGCTTTGCCTGACATTCAGTAATGCACCACTCAGAAGACAGAAGCAGTTAATAGAGAAAGAGAAATCACAGGTTAAGAACAGAACCAGAGAGGCTGTTGGATTGTGGTGGATTGAACATGGGACTAAGAGCCTGCTCACTGGAACTCTGCTCCTGAACATAACACCAGCTTGCTTTTTGATTTCATGAAATTAACTACAGCTGAGAGCTGGCATAACTCTTTTCCTTTGGCCCCACCTATCTTCTAAAATCCTAGTTCTCATTCAGAAATAAAACCCACCCCTTTAAAGTTATTACAACAGTAAAAAAAGTCAGAAATATACAACTGCTGAAAAAAAAAGATGTTTCATGTTTGCCTCAAAGCAACCACATGGTTGTTTTATGACTGTTCAAAGGAATTTCCTACAGGGCTAACATCAACCACAAGAAACATACTTTTTCTGAAAATTACCAAAATGAAAATATTATGAGAACTAATGTGCTATACCACCTTTCCCTTTCACTAATGCTATTTTCTAATTCTAATCAAAATGCACATCGTGCTTTCAGTGTGACATATGTTCTATTTGAATAAACAAACAACCTATAATTTCAAATGTTGAAACTCAGCCACAGATGGACTCTATCTGGCCTTCCCCTTCAAGAAGCTTAGCAAAAATCCTATGATGCAATACAGGGACTAGAAAACTTTTTAGGTAGTTTTGTCCTCTGGCACACAAAGAACACGAAATTATTCCTCCACAGGAGAGTTCTTTACCTTGATTCGCGATTTAATACTATAAAAATGGAAGTACTGCGTCGGCAGATTTTTTATTTGATAGGTGGACTCTGTATCCTGTTCCTCAGGGAGAGGGGCAGGAACCTGGAGAGCAAAGCCATTCTCACAAAGGATGAGCAGCATGCTCTTCACCTGTACAAAACCACAAAAAAATACAAGTATAGGGCAGGTGTATACATGGACTTGAGAGAAATGGGAAAAAGTTAGTCAGAAGATGCATAGGCACAAAGCCAAGCCCCAGCCAGGAGGCATTAATTCGAACTGTGCTCTTATTTAAATGAACACTTTTAAAGGGACATCAGAAAGGAGTGAGCTTCTTTTATGCTATTTATCCTAGGCAAAGCTAAGGAACTGAAGAAGTCCTTGCCATATACAAACCAGCTACAAAACACTGTCTAGCTTGGAAGCAGCATGATGGTATTTTGGGAGTTTGGTTAAATTAACGGATGGATCTGCCCCAAAAATTAGGAGCTGAGGTTTTGGTTTGATAATTGTTTGAAAGCTCATATGTTTCTATACTATTAAATTGCTTATACCTTCAAGGCTGGACTCAGAATCTTGCCAAATGCTATTTAGCTTTGAGTTTGTTTGTTCTTTGCTGGTACCTGCCAGGTCCTTTAAAATGCAAACTTAGGAAGAATAGGTGAGGTGAGGGTAATAATTATTTAGGGTTTTGAGATTTTAAAAGGCAAGTCTGTATTTAGTTTCAATTTTCATAAGCTATCTGGAGAGGCTTATTTTATCTGACCCATCACTAAAAATGTGCAAAGGAGGCATATTAGAGTTGCTATGGAAACCTTAACTAGGAATTATATGATTCTTGTGTCTACAAAATCTCAGCCTTACAGATGCACTCATTAAATATATAGCATTTAATCCCCAAGGTGTTTTTTTTAAAGACAAAAAAGGTAGTGTAACACTCAGATGCTTGTACTGTGTTTATTAAGTGTTCACATCTAGCAGTGGAGACCTGATGCCAGTAGACAAAATTACTCAAAGGGAATCTAACATATCAGAGACATGATGGGTGCTTTTTTAGTAAGTACAAGTAACTTGTCCTCAAGGAAAGGACTCAAAACACAACTGTCAGATCAAGATCTGTTATTTCTGCAGTAAGATAAAGTTCATACCACCAAGAGTTCTTTTGCCAACACAGTTTTTATCAGTTCCTGTGAACAAGCAATAATAGCTACACTTTGCCACTGTACACCAGTATAATGTATCTTGCTGGCCACTTTGTCAGTGTCTAAATAATGAACAATCTCCCCTCTAATAAAGAATACTGGACCAACCAAAATTTCAGATGTTACTCTAACCTTAGTAAACTTTAAAAGTATTAGCAAGAATCTATTTGAATATGTCACTGACACACTTCAAACACACAGTGTGAATTCCATGAAGCACCCAAAAGCTTTCTTAATGTGGTCTGAAAGCTTTGTAAAAGCCTGTTTTAATATGGGCAAGAGGGACAGGCAATAACGCTCAAATAACTCTTTTATCAAAGAAGACTAAGACCTTCCAAAAGCTAATGTAGAGACTTGTTTCTTCAAAGCAGGAACTCAAGAAGCTGAGCAAAATTTTGTGGTTTGCATATGTTTCTACTCTTTATTATCCAAAGTCCAAAATATGTCCAAAGTGACTGAACCAGAGATACAGCTAAACAGAACCTGTCATTCTGAAGCAGCATGAAGAACAAAGTAACAAAACATCTCTTGCATTGTCTATAGAGAACATGGCTAGGGTCGTGGATTTTCGTCTGTTTTCATTGGAAGTTCTTTTCAAAATGAGATTTTAACACTGTAAGGAATGGAAGAAACCAAACATGCATTACTCACATGAGAAGGTGGAGACCACTGTAATGCCTGCACAGGCCCAGGGACACAGATGAATCCAATTGGCTCATATTCATCTTCAACAGCAAAAAAGAAAACAGTTTTGTCTTTACTCTGAGGAAAAAAACCAAAGGTGACTGAATCAAAGCTGACCAAAAATTTGAAAGACTGTAAGCACTTTATGACATAAACATGTACTTCAAATGTTTTGTGGCTCAACAGGGGGACTTACAAGTGCCTTGGAACTTAGAATTGGACTTCCATGATGATTACAGGGAGGAAATAAAAATCCTGCCCACCTCACTCCAGGGCCCTGAGTGCACCCATAGCCCTCAATTGCCCTGATGGGCCTCACCTGGCATCCCCAGCCATGTGCTTTCTGCCCATTGCCCCAGGAGATCCTTTAAAGCTCAGGTTCAGGCCTAGTTTTTCAGATAAGACGGCACAGGCTGATTTCCCTGGGTAACAAGAAAATCCAGAACTAGTGCACCATATGATGCGTGGCAGCTTAAATCCTGCATTAAGTGAAATGCATGGTGATTTGGCTCAAGGAACTGCAAATGCACTGATCATGGCTGAAGGCTAGTTTTTAAAAAGAGAGACCACATCAACTGGAAATCACCTCAAAGATAAGCAGGTGCACTGACAAACCAACTGGTCAATCCTCTTGCAAGGCCAAGCAGTGCTACGTAGCAGCTGGAGTGCTGCCAAGGTGGTGTATGAATGGACTTGCTTTTACTAATTCCAAGATACCACTAAACTAGTTCCAAAATGAACCAAATCCATCTTCAAAGCGGATTACAGAATTCACACTAAACAGTCCAGTAATTCACAAAATTAATTGTATGAATTGCACGGTTGCTTTCCTTCAGAAAACAAATGTGAGTGCAAACAGATCCTTCTCTTCCCCCAGCACTGCAGAGAACTATAAGAGGAGATCAACAGCAATAACAGAAGTATAACTGTGTTGTCAGTAAAAACACTTTACCTTATCTCTTTAAATAATCTCTACATCTGTGGCTTAATAAAAATAACCAAAAGAAATGATACATACCCCTGTGGCAAGCACATCTCCATTTTGTTCATATGCCAAGGCTGTAACTGCAGCGGTATGAGGTTTGAAAGCTTGTTTCAGATTTATCGCTGCATTCTCTGTATTGGTCTGTCCTGCAAGAATGGGCAGTCCTTTGGGATCATAAACTTCAATTATGCGGACAACACCGTCTTCAAACCCCACTGCAATTAGACCTCCCTTAGGATTTACCTTTTAGTGGAAGAATGAAGAAAAAAATCAGTGTACATCTCAGAGCTTAGGGTAAGAATCTGTATGGCACATGCTCTGGTGTTAACACATAACTCATTGTACATGGAAGTGTTGCTAAAGCAGAAAGAATGTTTCATACATGGGGAACGTTTCTCCTCGCTAATACACTACTGTAAAGTGAGTGGGAGGACTGGGGGTTACTTTCTGGTTTGGGTTGGGTTTTTTTACTGATAACATGCTATTGAGACTGGAAACATTAATGAGGATGTGGTTGTAACCTCTGAGGAAGAGATAATTCATCCTGACATACAAATACATCAGTAGCTTCATCTTAAGGAGAAGAGTTGGAACTCAAAAAAGGAATTACTATATTACCCTGAATATAATATTGGGCATCAAATGTGGGTAATGATTTTTTAAGAGGCAAGGGCACAGACTTGGGTCTGGCTGACTCCATGTACAGTACAGTTGCCAACAGGGACAGCTACTTAAGATGGAAAGAGGAGGCTAGGAGGCTATGGAGTCCTTACCACCTAACAGCATCTCTGAAAGTCTACACGGCCAGAATTATAGTTATAAAACACTGCCCCAGTGTTACCCCCACCTTGGAAATTCAAATAAGCACTTTCCTCCATAACTTTGCTTATAATTAACCCACCAGGCTTGCTATGTTTTCTCAACAACATAACTAGACACTATTTTAATTAAAATTAGCAAATATGTCTAAAAGTGATAGACTCCACACTCCACAAATGATCAGTTCTGGCAACAGTTTTTTATGATTTATCTCCAAATGCTTGTGGATTGTCTGGGCTGTCATTTCAAAATGTGTTAACTAACTGATGTTAATTGACAATTACTCTGCGTGGGTTAAATAGAAGCTGTTAGTGTAAAAACTAAGACTACTTCCTGGGACTGCACACTGAGATCTGATTTTAAAATCTCAGGAAGACACGAAGCAGGATACCTGACAATCCACAGTAAAGTCAAACTGTACACATACTATTATACATACATACTACTCCACAAACTTGTATATACATATTACTACAGTAAATTCCAGCATGGCCTAACAGTGACTTCTTTAAGGTCTTGTACTGTGAGCAACTTTCTTGATGCTAGCAGGCTCATAGGCCCTGTACAAATTTTTGTTAACACACTAGCAAAAACTCACAACACGAGGTGCCCACGTCAGTGCTGTTCCTCCTTGTTTAAACTTAATTTCACTCAGTTGACTGTTGCTGATGAAATCATAGATACGCACTGACCCTGTGTAGAAAGGAGACAGTAAGAATTTATTTCTTGCAACGTCACTTACATTTTAAGATTTATGGAGAAACGTCTATTTATTTAAAGCTGGATAGAAAGTTATTAATTTTTCTCTTTGAGTATCAAACACCCATCTGGAAAGACATGACTGATGGTTACAAACTACCACAGCTAGCACGGTGCTCATGAACAAAATATAAGCTTTCTTCACTCTTTAACTTACAGGCTCCCAAGAGTTGTCAGGGCTGAGGGTTGTAATAAGAAGTTGCATGCTGACCACCATGTGTGATTTTCAAGTAATCACAGAACTGTGGCATACTGTAAGGAAAATCTGTACTGACAACATAGGAAAAGATGATACGCTACTACTTGGAATTACCTAGGGAGGAAAATATTTAAATAGATGAAAATGGGAGATTGTCCAAAGAAAAGCCAATTTCACCAGAGGTGAAATTAACAGATTAGTAGACACACATATTGGCCTGCATAAAATTCCATTCCAGCTGGCATATATCCTAAGTGTCATTTGCTCAACTGGTAGGAGTTTGTCTTCAGGCTAGAAGTGCATGTACATTGCATAACACAGACAAATTACAAGATACTGCTGACAAGAATTGAGTTAAAGAACTTGTAGTGTTTTCTGAGAAGTGTAAATGACATTGTTAGTACTGGGGCCAGTGGTTCTTCTTTCAAACTATTATGAGAGGCCTAAACTGCAATATTTTTATAAGTCTGTTGTGGTTTAACCAGCAGGCAGCTAAACACCACACAGCCATTTGCTCACCGCTCACTCCCTGCCTCACAGTGGGATGGGGAAAGAATCAGGGAAAAAAAAGTAAAATTTGTGCATTGAGGTAAAGACAGTTTCATAGGACAGAAAAGGAAGGGAATTTAATAGTAATAACAACAACAACTAATAATAGTAATGATAAAAGAATATACAAAAATAAGTGATGCACAATGCAATTGCTCACCACCCACTGACCAATGCCCAGCCAGTTCCCAAGCAGCAGTCCCCGCCCCCCAGCCAGCTCCCCCCAGTTTATATACTGAGCATGACGTCATATGGTATGGAATATCCCCTTGGTCAGTTTAGGTCAGCTGTCCTGGCTGTGCCCCATCCCATCTTCTTGCTGGCAGAGCACGAGAAGCTGAAAAGTCCTTGAACAGTGTAAGCACTACTTAGCAACAACTGAAACATCAGTGTGTTATCAACATTATTCTTATACTAAATCCAAACCACAGCACTATACCAGCTACTAAGAAAACAAAAAAATTAACTCTATCCTAGCCAAAACCAGGACAGTATCCACTCCTTATTCTATACCATCTACGTCATGCCCAGGTCCCACACTTTCCAATACATTCCAATTAATCACCACCACTTTTCCTGTCTTTTGATGTATATACACACAGATATCATGCCCTTCGTCTATGGGCCACCCCTATAAAATGTCCATTGACATTGAGTCCATGTCCATTGAGTTCATTTAGTCCATGACTGGGCTTAATCTGTCATAACAGTCCTTCAGGGCAGGCGACATGGTGTGTGGTGTTGGATTGTTGCATACTGAAGCCAGTTCTGGTTCCATTCTTCATTAATCTAAGTGATTCTTACTGTAATACCATTGATATGGCATATAGCCACCACAGAAGTAATAATATACAGTATTATATAGCAATTAATATCATACCATTTAATTCATTGGCTATTCTCATGCAAAATTAAATCCTCTTGAGGTACACATCAGAATTCCCCATCCTCCTGCATCACTATCCAAGTGCACCTAGGGCCTTGAGCAAAAGCAATCCCACAAACGTGTTTGCCTTTGCCTGAGGTAGGAATAACCCAGACTGCCTTCCCCAGCATATTTTTTATGTGCACTACAGGGACTTTATCTCCTTCTACAGTACATAAAAGTTTTGATTTGGCAGGGCCAGCTCAATTGGCAGATCCCCTGGTGTTGACTGACCAGGTGGCTTTTGCTAAATGTGTATCCCAGTGTTTGAACATCCCATTGCTCTCAGTGTAGTCTTTAACAGTCCATTGTATCATTTGATTTTCCCAGAGGCTGGTGCATGACAGGGGGTGCAATATACACACTCAATGCCATGCTCCTTGGCCCAGATGTCTATGAGGTTGTTTCAGAAATGAGTCTCGTTGTCTGACTCAATTCTTTCTGGGGTTCCATGTCACCATAACACTTGCTTTTCAAGGCCCAGGATATTGTTCCAGGCAGTGGCATGGGGCACAGGATATGTTTCCAGCCATCCAGTGGTTGCTTCCCCCATTGTAAGCACATGGCACTTGCCTTGGAGGTTTTGTGGGAGTGTGATATAATCAGTCTGCCAGGCCTCCCCATATTTATATTTCAGCCATTGTCCTCCATACCAGAGAAGCTTTAACGGTTTGGCTTGTTTGATTGCAGTGCATGTTTCACATTCATGGAGAAGCTGTGCAGTAGTGTCCCTGGTCAAGTCCACCCCTTGATGACGAGCCCATCTATATGTTGCATCTCTTCCTTGATGGCCTGAGGTGCCGTGGGCCCACCCAGCTATAAATAATTCACCCTTATGTTGCCAGTCCAGATCCACCTCAGCCACTTCAATCTTAGCAGCCTGATCCATCTGCTGGCTATTTTGATGTTCTTCAGTGGCCCAGCTCTTGGGTATATGAGCATCTACGTGATGTACTTTTACAACCAGGTTCTCTACCTGGGCAGCAATATCTTGCCACAATGCAGCAGCCCAGATGGGTTTGTCTCTGCGCTGCCAGTTGCTCTGTTTCTATTGCTGTAAACACCCCCACAGGGCATTTGCCACCATCCATGAGTCAGTATAAAGGACTGGCCATTTTTCTCATTTAACAATATCTAAAGCCAGCAGGATGGCTTTCACCTCTGCAAGCAGACTCGATTCACCTTCTCCTTCAGCAGTTTCTGCGACTTCTCATACAGGACTCCATACAGCAGCCTTCCACCTCCAGTGCTTTCCCACAAGACAACAGGACCCATCAGTGAATGGGGCATATTGCTTCTCATTTTCTGGCAGTTTATTGTACAGTAGGGCCTCTTCAGCATGCGTCACCTCCTCCTCTGGTGATGTTCTGAAGTCTTTGTTTGCCTTCTGGCCAGTCCATGATCACTTCCAAGATTCCTGGGCACCTGGGGTTTCCTATTTGAGCCCATTGTGTGATCAGTGCGACCCACTTACGCCACATAGCATCAGTTGCATGATGTGGAGGGGACCCTCCCTTTGAGCATCCAGCCCAGCACCAGCAGTCGGGGTGCCAGCAGGAGCTGTGCTTCAGTACCAACCACTTCCAAAGCAGCTCAGACCCCTTCATATGCTGCCAATATCTCTTTCTCAGTTGGAGTATAGCGGGCCTCAGATCCTCTGTATCCCCGACTCCAAAACCCTAGGGGTCAACCTTGTGTCTCCCCTGGTGCTTTCTGCCAGATGCTCCAGATAGGGCCATTCTCCCCAGCTGCAGTGTAGAGCACATTTTTACATCTTGTAAAAACTGGCCCCAGGGCTACTGCATGAACTGTCTCCTGTTTAGAATCATAGAATCGTTTAGGTTGGAAAGGACCTTTAAGATCATCCAGTCCAACCATTAACCTAACATTACCAAGTCCACCACTAAACCAATTAAGGATAGAGTAATAATTAATTTCATGTTTCCTCACTTGGTGGCTGCATTATTTTTTAATGAAAGTAAAACTAGGAATCATGAAGGTTGGAAAGGACCTGTAGGATCATCAGTCCAACCGTCAACCCAACACCACCATGCCTACTAAACCATGTCCCAAAGTGCCACGTCTACACATTTTTTGAAAACCTCCAGGGATGGTGACTCCACTACCTCTCTGGGCAGCCTGTTCCAATGCTTGACTACTCTTTCAGTAAAGAAATTTCTCCTAATATCTAATCTAAACCTCCAGTGACACAACTTGAAGCCATTTCCTCTCGTCCTATCACTAGTTATTTGGGAGAAAAGACCTACACACACCTCACTCATTCCTTTCATATAGCTCTAGAGAGCAATAAGGTCTCCCGTCAGCCTCCTCTTCTCCAGGCTAAACAACCCCAGTTCCCTCAGCCACTCCTCATAAGACTTGTGCTCCAGACCCTTCACCAGCTTTGTTGCCCTTCTCTGAACACGCTCCAGCACCTCAATGTCTTTCTTGTACTGAGGGGCCCAAAACTGAGCATAGTATTCGAGATGCAGTCTCACCAGTGCCGAGTACAGGGGTCGATCACTTCCCTGCTCCTGCTGGCCACACTCTTCTGATACAAGCCAGGATGCTGTTGGCCTTCTTGGCCACCTGGGCACACTGCTGGCTCATGTTCAGCCAGCTGTCAACCAACACCCCCAGGTCCTTTTCCACTAGGCAGCTTTCCAGCCACAATTCCCCAAGCCCGTAGCATTGCATGGGGTTGTTGTGACTGAAGTACAGGACCCAACACTTGGCCTTGTTAAACCTCATACAACTGGCCTCGGCCCATCGATCCAGCCTGTCCAGATCCCTCTGCAGGGCCATCCTACCCTCGAGCAGATCAATGCTCCCACCCAGTTTGGTGTCATCTATAAACTTACTGAGGGCACACTCAATCCCCTCATCCAGATAGTTGATAAAGATATTAAACAAGACTGGCCCGAAAACTGAGCCCTGGGGAACACCGCTCATGACCGGTCACCAACTGGCTTTAACTCCATTTACCACAATTCTCTGGGCTTGGCCACCCAGCCAGTTTTTTACCCAGCAAAGAGTACACCTACCTAAGCCATAAGCCGCCAGCTTCCTTAGGAGGATGCTGGGGGAGATGGTGTCAAAGGCTTTACTAAAGTCCAGGTAGATCACATCCCCAGCCCTTCCCTCATCCACTAGGTGGGTCACCAGGTCATAGAAGGAGATCAGGTTGGTCAAGCAGGACCAGCCTTTCACGAAACCATGCTGGCTGGGCCTGATCCCCTGGTTGACCTGCACATGCCTGTT